GAGAAAGAGAGAGAGCACAATTAGTGGAAGATGCCCCCAAAGTCATCTCCACCCACCCAACTGGGAAAGATCTTTCGGTCGAGTTATTCTGGGGATGCCCTAACAAGGAGGGCCCAACGTTTGCAATTTTTAAGACTTGTGACTTCAACTCCATGCTGACTGGGGAATTCTGGGAGTTGAAGTCCGTAAGCTTTAAAGTCTGGAGAGAGTCTCAATCGTCATCCAGGTCCCGGTTGTCCCAAAGGGGCTTTTTCAGGAGGCAACTGGACTTTCTGTTTTTTTTTTTCTTTGAAGATGTTTTGCTTCCCATCCAAGAAGCTTCTTCCACTCTGGATGGATGGCGGGGAATGGAAGGTTTTATCCTCCTTGCAGACAGCTGGTCGTTGGCATCCTTTGAGGGAGTCGTTGAGGCCACTTGGACCCTGAGGACACAGATAAACCTCCAAGTAGCCTCAACGACCCTCTAAAACAGTGTTTCTCAACCTTGTCAACTTGAAGATGTCTGGACTTCAACTCCCAGANCCCTGAGTCCTCCCGGAGAAGGGCGGCATACAAATAATCAAATACAAATACAAATACACTGAGTGCTTTTGTAGCTGAGACAAATTCCTTGTGCATCTAAACACACTTGGCCAAATAAAATGTTCAATTCAATTCATTTGTTAATCCTTTCTTTGTTGTATTCCTGTACGGTCAGCTTATGCAAAACTGGTACAAAAATGTGGGAAATGTCATTAACAGAGCAATGGCTCAATGGGGATTTAAAATAATAATAATGGTGATGTGGAATAACATATCTGAACGTAAATAATTTCCTCTTCATGCCCATCTCCCAGCTCCTTCAGAAGTGTGAATGAACCAAGGAGCGAAATCAGCACTGGATCCACACTCTTTCATCCGCAACGACATTGGCTGGTCCTGGAAACAGGTCTGTCTCTTGACTCTCCAAACTGAAGGGATGTCTACAGGTGGTTCTCGACTTACAGCCGTAATTGAGCCCTAAATTTTGTTGCTAAGCGAGACGGCTGTTAAGAGAATTCTGCCCCATTTTACGACCTTTCCTGACGCCGTTGTTAACTGAATCACTTCTGTGGTTACGTTAGTCACATGGTTGTTAAGTGAATCTGGTTTGACTTTGCTTGTCAGAAGGTCACAAAAGGGGGGGGTCACGTGACCCCAGGGCACTGCAACCGTCATAAATATGAGTCAGTGGTCAAATATTCGAATGCTGATCATGTGGCCACCGAGATACTGCTGTAGTCATAAGTGTGGGAAATGGTCCTCAGGCACTTTTTTCACTGTAGCTTCGAATATCACTAACTGAACTGTTGTATGTCGAGGACTACCTGTCTTTGTTTATATTTAAAAAAAATATAGGTTTGAATAAATCTTTGCTTCTACTTAACATTTGGCCATGATCCTTTGCACCTGACAAATAGAGGGCAGAACCCCTTGCCTCTAAGTGCCAAAAAAAACCCCAACTGAAAGTGTTTGTTGCTCTAAAGGTTGCCACCAACTTACACATTATTATCATTTTTCAATGGAGGAAACCATATTAACTGCCTTTTAGTGTGATTGTAGTTTAATTAAAGCATTTTGAATTTTTTGCCCTGGCCTTGCCCAATGTCGGTAGTGGGCTGTCTGCAGGTCAAGTGTCCAAATAACTAACTTGCCTTCAGAAGTTGTGGGAGTTTAAATTTTAAGATGATGAACAAAGCGAGATGTTTACTGCTTGCTCTCCTTTACATAATAGATTAAGGGAATCGTAATAAACATTGAACAGCGTGCTGTGTCATTTATAGACAATTTAAGGATAATTTGATCCAAGTGACAGAAAAATAGAGAGGGAACATGAAATATATCTACAATGGGAAATTGATTTTAAGAGAATCACAAGTTGGGGGTGCGTAAGGATGTATAATTATATAAAGATAATGATGAGAATAGTTAGGAATTGTAACCAGGTCTACATCTTGACCAAAATTAGGC